GGGATGCAGTCAGGACGGATGCTGAATTTGGTCTGGCGCAGGTTGCTATGTGGTTGCAACAAAACCTCCCTTCATTAAATACTGCCAAAACAAATTATATTTGTTTCAGCATTTACAATAATTCGCAGCCGCGTAGTGACTTTAGCCTGAAAATTCATGAATGCCTGGAGAATGAGAATCAAAACTTTTGTAACTGTCCGAAAATTGAAAAAGTTTCACAAGCAAAATATTTAGGTGTCATTGTGGACCAAAGACTATCATGGTACCCACATCTAAACCATGTTGGTATTAGAATTAGGAAACTTATCTGGATTTTCAAAACCCTCAGGCACGTTATGCCAGCCGTCACTGAAGATAAGGGCACTTCTAAAAATCTCCTTAATCAAATATACATAGCCCTGGCCCAACCCATTATCACTTACTGTATTCCAGTTTGGGGTGGCGCTGCGAAGAGCCAGTTTCTTGATTTAGAAAGAGCACAAAGAACCCTTATAAAGGTCATGTACTTCAAGAAGCGACGTTTCCCTACTAATGATTTGTACCGAATTAGTGACTCTCTGTGAGGAAATTATATATAATCACGACCATTCTCAAAATTCACAAATCCATACCCTATGACCCTCATCTCTTGGAAAAAAGGCGAAAAGACATAATCGTCAAGTCGACTGTCACTAAAACTGCATTTGCTAGTAGGCAATTTAACTCGCGTTCGGCCATCTTATATAATATAATGGATGGAATGGATATATAATGGATGGCTAAACTTTATTATCTCGAGCCCCTTGTGCTTTAGAAGGCACGTTAAGAGCCCTTTCACATTTTATGCAATAAATCGCAATTTTTGAGCGCCTCGTTTGCCCCCTTAGAAGAGGTTTTGACTACTTCCAATAGAAGTAAACAGTAGATTTATTCTTCCTATTGAAAATTAATTTAGAATATTTTCAAATACTATTTTCATTTTTTTGTACTGATCGTTCTACCGCAGCTAGTTTACGGAAAAAACGATAATATGCACACCTTAAAACGCCTAAATCTCACAATAATGTTCAATAAATTAGATCAAATTAATTACTACTACATCAGAAATATGTTTTTGTTGCAACATAATGTATTAGAATCTTGATTTTCCATCTCATTAGTTATTAAAAAAACATCTAACCTCCGTGAGTTTCCCCAAAAAATAACGCAGATTTACCTCGTATTTTGATATTGAATTAAATAGAATTACTATAAAAAACTTTCATAAAACTAATCTACAATCATTGAACTATTGAAATATGTATATATTTTTATAATAAGTTCATTAATTATTATTTTATAAGACTCTGAACATCACCCGTAAAATGCAATATATACTAGTGCAAATCTAGGCGCCGTTCAGTACGGCGCCAGCGCCTTTGGAGGTCGTACTTGTGTCGCTTTGTACCGCACGCGTCCCGACTCGGGACGAGCGATGCTACGAGTGCATTCATCGTAAAACTGGCTGGATATACTACGACCGCAAAACTTTAATCGTTGACTGTATGTAAGTTTCCACAACCGTATTAATTTTTATTATTATAAGTACCTCCCTAGTTATTAATTATCGTTGCTTCAACTAATATTTTTGTTATTAGCTTTTACAATGGGGCGTAAAATTTCTGCTTGCCATTGTGTCAAAAAAAAAAGAAAATGAAAGAATGATGCAGCCATAAAGAAAGCTTGTGAAGCAAGGTGAATATGCTTATAACATTTATTTTTAAAGCCTTTAAAATGCCATTAATTGATAAAAAAATCATGAAAGTTATTCATCATTAAATTTCCTACAACATTTGCATAAATCTTTTTTTTACTAAAAAAATACTTTTATAATGCGACTCAAATAAGAATAGGAAAGCCAATGACCTCCATCTGTCAAATGTCACTTGAAAAGTACAGTTTGCAAAAAAAAATCGGAATACTTTTTAGCACTCAGCTAATTCTAGAATAAAAATCAAACATTTTTAAACAAACAATAACAAATATTGATAGCTAATATTGGTTGATATTTTTTTTTTCATTTATTGAGCTTTGGCTATGAATGGTTGATAACCTAAATCGTCAACTAAATGTCACTTTATGTTCCGTTCAGAAACTCGATTTAATACTTTCGTTTACATATAGGATGCATGTTCGTATGTGACCTGCATGATTATTCATAACTACTCCAGTGGTAATGCAGAGATGAGCGGAATTGAAGAGCTAGATTCTAATTTATGTTTTTGCTCACACAGTCTTAATAAAGTATTATTAAAAATCGGCTGTGTTTTCTCTCAATCTTAGTAAATTAATTTTATTAAAAAATCTGATGTTTTTTCTCACTTAATCTAAGTAAGTAAGTTTGATTAAATAGAAACTTTTTTTGCTCACTCTACCTATTTGGCTTGAATTGACAGCTATGACATCAAAATATGGCGCCCAGTCGGTCCTATTCTTAGTTGAATCGCTTTATAAAGTTATGAGTCGTTAACGTAGCAATGACGCAGTATATCAGAGTTTTGTATACGTGCAATTGATTCTCATCACTAATATTATTTATAATATTTATATATTTTTTTCACTATTTTTTTTATTATTTTTTTTTACAATTAATTGATAATAATCCAACACAAATCATCATCAGCTTCAATTTGTATGAAAGTAAGTGAATTTTTCGGATACTTCTGTAATTTCATTTCAATGCCCGTTTTTGCGCACATTAACGACTATTAACTTCAAAAGTATTTATTTAATAAAAAAAATATACAAAACTTGTAGGGAATTCAATCACGAATAACTTGTATACGACGTTTTTTATCAATTAATGACATTTTTAAGGTTTTATAAAGGAAAAAATACAAACATGATCAAATAAACAACAACAATTGAAAAACGGTAAGAGTTACAATAAAAAGTTTGAGAGAAAGAAGTTAGAGAATTTAGTAATAAACAAAAAAACATTCCTTTTTTTCCGTACAGTCAATAATTTAGGAGATATAGCTATAAACGCGTTTTCTAATAAAGCGGCCAGTTCTGACCACCCTACATTCCCCGATTTAAACTTAAGCTTCTTACAATCTACACTTATGTCTGTAAAAAAAAGCTAGAGTACGGTAAAATGTTGCATTTCGATCAAGTATAACAAGTATAAACTCGTGGGCGGCCAAAGTACATATTGACCCAACATAATAATATATTTAGAATAGAAATTCACAGTTCTATTTATTTTATGTGGAAACAAAATTTTAATGGCAACCCCGAAAATACTGAAACTATACCGACCATTAGTTCAATGAATTCGATTGCAACGGACACTAAGTTTTTCATATTGTTATTGGAAGTAGACAATGAAAAAAGAAATTAAATTTATAACAATAAATTTATTATTATTTAAATTTATAATAATAAATTAAGTTATATAGCAAAAAAATGCTGTTGGATTGGAAATCGAAGCCGAGGAACAAAGGGAAGCGTCTAACTCAAACTCAAAAATGTAAATATTTTATCTGTTTTATACTGACTTAATGGGTATTTCACTACTACACTAGGTACATAGTTTACAATGTTAGCAGTTTGGTTTTTAGTTTTAAACTCAAACTAATGGGATGCATTTCTAGAGCAAAAAAGTTTATTTTTAATATTTTATATTAGACTTCTTTACTCCACAAGTTCAATTGACAGTAGAGGCGGCCTTACCGATTGCGAGGCTCCGGGCGGCAGGTCTTTGCGAGGCCCTTTGTCCTTCGTGAAAAGTATGTGATGCGAAAGTAGGTCTGGTTGTTTGTTTTAGGTATTTGTCATGTTTAAGGAAAAATGCTTAAATTATACAAATAAATCAAATTTGAATTTTAAAATATTTTACATTGAAAGATTCACAAAATTAACAAATACAGAGATGATAAATTTTAAAATTGATGTTTGCGGCTTTTCCTAAGACTAAAATCTTTAATTAAAGCACAATAATCTAACGAATAAGCTACGTCATTTTCGATTGAAAGAATAGCGAGGGCTGAAAGCCGATCTTGTGTCATTGAAAAAATAGTTTTTTTTTATATATTTTTAAAATTTGCTTGGGTTGTTGCGCGAGGCCCCTGTAGGAGCGAGGCCCTGGGCGATTGCCCTGTTCGCCACCCCCTAAGACCGCCACTGATTGACAGTAACTTGCTGATTTACGTACCATATCTGTGTCTGGATTGGAAATGTATTTCCAGTATTGCCTATATCTATTTATTAAATGAACTATGAAGGCAAAGACAAAATTACACTTAGTGCAGTTTTACTGAGATATTTGATTATTACCAAACATCAATCATCATTAAAAAAGTCAACACTAAAAAACACAAGTAAATAAAATATTATTTCTCATTGCCACTCGAAAAAGGGATTTCATTCAGCGATAACAGTGAACAAACTTTTCATTTAATTTGAACAAACAGAAGTTATGCAAAGCATACATATAAAGTTACAATAATTAGTAATACATGATCATAATTAATCTTTATTTTCATTTCCAAAACACAACCAATGGGTAGGTACTATAAATATATTATTTATTTTCTCACAATAGTAAAAAAACTTAATCCTTGTATCCTTTGCTCCACTCAGGATTCCTATCTAGAATCGTTCGTTGCTACAGTAGGGCACTTCAAATTAACTTTATTTTATAATCTCATTTATTGTATAATCAATAATTGCATATTAAAGTATCAATTTGGTAAAGCGCGCTATACTGAACATCGCCGTGTCGATGTCTCGCTCGTGCGACTCGGACACGCTCGCGGCCGTATTTACCTAAACAAGAGAGGCGCAACTTTGTAAAAGGGCTCTTAAGTCGACGCGGTTGCCGAGCGAGCGTAGCAAGCGTGCTGCAGCAGCGGTGCCAATGGGAAAACCTACAAGTGCCCCAGGAATGTGCTTTAGTAGATTAATTAAGTCATATTTGATGTTTGGGTGACTTCTGCCGAAGTACAATTTTTAGTAGGTAAATAAAAGAACCACTTTCATTATAGATCATTTTTATTTATTTGTCGGTATAAGAGGTTGTAAAAGTTATTGTCTAAAAGTTTCAATTAATTCTTTTGGTAAAACTACGTAGATTAGATACAAACTCGACGAAACTAGTTTAAGTATCTAATTTGAACAAGAAACATTTTCGTGTCGTACATTAGGCATAAATGTATTTCTAAAAATCAACTTCATATATATTGTTTCATGTGCATCTGTGCACCCATCTCATTTTATCTAACACTTACAAATGGGTTGTAGTTATATTTTTATTTTACATACATTTTGGCTGACGTTTCGGAACTTTTTAATTTCATGTGCTAAAGCAACGGAAAATATTGCCCACTTTGGAATTGTTGGTATTTTGAGGTATTTAATTAATAACAGTGATTTCTGGCCTACTCACAAAAGATTTATACATATAATTTTGGCCAAAACTAAACATAGCTTGCATTATAAAAACCAAATAATAAATAGAATACAAATAAAATTATTTAAACATCCATGACTCAAATTTTAAATTGTGCTCATTCAAAAAATTACTGCTAGGTACTATCAATCGGCAAAAAGAGTTCGAAGCGTCATTATAAATACAATTAAAATACCTATATGCACTATAAACCCATTCAAGAGTGTTTCTTCATATGAATTTCTTAAATTATCACCTCATTTTATGATATCGGTACAGTGTATTCAAATTAATTATTTAATACTGTTTGGCTCCTTTTATCCTTCTTAAGGCGAACTTTAGGGACACGTGCACTTGAATAAATAAGTAGGCATTAACGTAGTAACATAAATAAAATATTACTAGGTATATTCATTTTAAAAATATATAACATAAAATGAATCGTTTAAGATTATTGAGTTTCTACTTATTTGGAGAACGGGAGCGATTTTAAAAATTATTTAGTGTCTAGTTTGGAACCGGTAGGAGGACCCCAGCGGGTGTATGGCACTTGTGCATAACATATAGCGTACATGATCATTTTCTAACACATTCGATAATCTTTCTTTATGGAATATAGTGTCTTTAACATCTCATTAGTCCAGAGCAATTATATATTTAATCATTAATTACATTCTTAGTCGCGTACAATTTTTTAAAATGTGAATAGTCCTGTTTTTTAATATCTTTTGTGACAGCAAATGATTCACTATGGAAATAACAATTTCAACAAAAAATAAAAGTATTATGATGCCTATATCCATATGGTACAATTCGGTAAATGACAAACTCACACAATTCTTTTCTTTTTTTAATCGTTTTTCTATTGAGGTTGGTAGTCGTCTAAAGTAAAATTAATACATAATTTTAATAAAATTTATGTAAAGAATTGCCATGAGCTTGTAAACACAGCACGACATCACACATAGCCAGCCCGTAAGTGAAGTTACCATCACTGTTAGGTTTACATATCGATATACGACAATGATATTTTTCTTACAATCTCTATTCGATATAAAACTACAAAACTAGATACTGTAATGGAGAACTCTTTTCACAATACCAAAATACTGCTTCTACGCTAAAATAATTGGTTTAATTTATATTTATTTAAGCGAGTCAAGTACGTCGGTACTTTGAATAATTTATTCATTGTAACGAATGCGACACGAAATATATATCACTAAATTTATAAACGTTAACATTGAGTAAATGCTCGGTAGGGTGTAAATTTCGCATCGCTTTCGTTCCGACAAAAACATTACATACAGACATAAATAATTCAAAATATCATTCATCTTTACACTGTGTACGTAGGTAGATACGCCCATAAAGCTTCTGGTATTTATTCCAAAAATCTCGTGAATTCATTGAAAGGACATCATCAGCGAACTATTTACACATTCGTGAAAAACAACACAAAAATTATTTGATCGTTTTATTACAATAATTATAAAAATAAAATATATACAAAATATACAAGTATAATAATTACACAATCATTCTGATACTTTAGTTCTTGAAGGGTGGGTAAAATAGATTAAGATTTTGCAGAACTGCATATTAAAATTACGAATTTAATAGGTAATTCACAAGAAGAGTTCAATGAAATAATGAACGTTCCAAATACACTGTGTTCTAGACCCAGTCTATACAAGAGTCTTCGCTGATTATGTCCAGAAACTACGTATTACGAGTACGGTCAAAAGAATGTATTCTTGAAATCCATTCAATCACAATATTTGCAGACACATTCAAACGTACGAGTAATATTCTCACATACAACGCGCATATTGCTAACCGAACGGACTTAAAAATATAATACAATAAAATTGGCTCACTAAAGTACAAGCGTATGAAATCCTACATAATCTACATTCGGTTGGAACTAAGGGGGAAAATAGAATAAAAACATCAACTAAAACGTTAACAAAATACACTTTCTCTATGGAAAATAAATAAATTTACAGATTAGATACACGTTTTAGATCTAATTACTAATAGTTACTTTTCTTTAAAAAAATTATCACTACATTTTTTTAATTAACTAAGGCAAGTAGTCTTGTGATACAATAACTGAGTTTCTTCTAGGGTCCTTTATTGGAAGAACTGATATAAGACTAACATTACATAAAACTGACGAAAATCTTTACTTTCATTTGTACTTTTGATTTTGAGTTATAATACTATACAACACTACTTGTCTCAGTAATTACACTTTAATCATAATGTAGAACTTAGAAGCTTGCCGTCACGCTGTGCTACACTATTCTATCATAGGCTAGACCAAAACCAACGATAACTACATTACTCAGTCCAATATTCAGTCATTATCTTACGAATACACGTCTCAAATACACTCTGCTAAGTACATAACTTTTCCGTATTCCACCAGTGATGTTTCGATCGATTCAGATAATAAATAATCACTGAATTTTAAACAAAATTGACTTTCGAGAAAGCCTATTAAACAGATGATAATTTCTTAATTTAAATAACTTCCTAAAGGGCACTTTGTAAAAATACGATCGTTTAAGATATTTGGGTGACGGCAAATGGTCGTTCATTTGTAACGGAATCGAATGGACCTACTATCGGATCCATTAAGGAATCACTTAGACCTAATTAAATAGAAATCTCAAAGGACGAGTAACAAATAGAAACGAAAGATACACCAATAAATTGGGAGTCAAACGATAGCCCATTTAGATCATAGTTATGTTACGTTGAAATGTAGATTGCGTCAGGAAAATCGTCGTTATATTGTAACTGCGGTTTCTATGATCGAATCATCACCGGTAAGACATTTTGCGAGCTTCTAACACAGTTCCACTTGACAAAAACCATAATCAAGATATTTTAACATTTCGATAGACCGATTAAGTTATCATCTAAAATAATTTCATGATTAGTAAGAGTTACTAAGACAATTGGAATCTTTTACGATTAATCTACGTTTTAAAGCGAACTAGGAATATAAATTAAAATAGATAATTTCAGTAGCTTTGGTAGAATAATATCATTTGATTGTTATTGTTGCCTTTGGGCTATACGACTTTAGTTTAAACGACTCGATTCTTGAGTATTTTTATGACTTGGATTATAAAAAAAGGACGTCTAACGAAACAAGTAACACTATCTTTTAGATGGACCAAAACCTGTAAATGCTCATAATAACTTATATCTTATGAATATTTGTAGTATGAGAGAGCAAATTTGCTGTTTATAAATGCTATGCATATCGTAAACGTATTGATATAGGTAGCTACAAAGAAGCAATTTAATTTTTTGTGCAAAGACTAGTGGCAGTCCTTTCATAAGAGTTAAGATGCATTTTGAGCTCTGCCATTTCAAACTTTATTTAACCTAATGGTAGAGGAAAGAGTCGTATAGGGACACGAGAGTCGTGTCCTAGGAATGGCGTGGAGATTCGAGGACGCGAATGTGTGGAACGGTGTTAGTGAACGAGCGCGACGGCAGCTCCGACCGCGACTAGGGCGCGTGTCAGGCGCGACCGACCGCCTCCTGCGCGGTCGCTGACCGAAAAAACTCCACGTCCGTCGTTGTCGACATGGTGGACATTGTCGACTCGTCCCAGCTCACCTCCGTGGTAGTAGTCGTCCCGTTGCCGTGTCTCCGTCGCGCCTTTGGATGCCTCTTTCTCTTCGGATTGTTAACTTTTTTGTGCTTTCGTTTCATTCTAAGGTTCTGCTTGTGCAAATGTTGCATGCAGTTTCTATGTTTTGGTGGGGGCCTCTTCAGTTTACCGTGGTGTCGTCTCGTTGGACAGTGTGTGTGCTTGATTCCGTGACCCTCCCACCGTCTCGTTAGCGTCAGCGCATACCTCGATAGATTGCCGAGCTGTCTGCTCACGGGGATCTGTGTCCGTCTCGATTTCCCTCGATTGTCTAATGCTAAATATGTTTTCTTCCCGCTTCGTATTCGCGAGTACGTGTTGTAGTTATTCTCTTCTATATGCTCTTCGAACACGCAATCGTCCGAGAGATACTTCTGAAACAATGGAGAAAACTGGAATTAATTACTTAGTATATATTCCCCAATTGGTCTGTCTAAACACCTGTTTTATTTTCTTATAGTGATTATTCATCTGGAATAGTAGAGGTAGTGGCACGACCACCTAAGCATTCAAATTAGAGCTTCCCTTTTAAGACACAACATTGCCTAGAGACAGACCCGTTAAACCACAACAAGGCTTACTGACCAAACAGATTGGCTATTTTATTTATAAATATGTATAAGCGTACCGCCAGCGGGTATACTAATGCCACTTAAATTGTCCCAAGAGTCGAGCATAAGCAATTCGAGAACATTAAATTCAATCCATGGTACACTGCAGCAGACTCAAGGTGGTGGGTGAAAATTATTGCTACACAGATTTATGGAACCGGCAATTTGTACCATCAGTAGTTCTTTGGACCAGTTATGAAATACCCTTAACTTGACATGACAAATGAAACATAAGGTTTTATTAATAACATGTACAATATCCATGTTAATGTTACTGTATAATCAAAGTGGAGTAGTGAAAGTGTTATAAATCAAACAGAACTAACACAGTTTTAGATCACAGATTTATAGGCACAACAGTTGGAATTGCAAATAGTTGCTTTTCTTATTTAAATTTTATCTCGTAAACATTTCTCGTGTAGATTAGAATTCCCGTAAACGTTCCACGGTCATCGAAGATATGATGCTATCCAAACATACCCCGTGTGGTGCGGGGAATCTCTTAAATTTCCTTTTGCGGTGCATTTAACTTAACGACACAGCGAAATGAACTTTTCTAACGTTAACCCCTTTGGAACTAGGAAGAAGTCTAATACTAATTGTATGGGAATCCTAACGTTTGGGTGCTACCACCCACGGAGGACGCCCGCTGAGTCCATTAGTAACTTGCTATTTCATAACAGATATCGCAGGTTACACTAGGCAGCCTAAAGCTTTCATACTGTGGAGTGCAAAATAATTCCATTTCAAGGAGTCCTCATAACTGTTCCCAGTGTTAATCGTGGAAGACAACTTGATTGCGTAGAACGGAACGTACCTACTTGAATAATCATGGTCGTGAAAATAGTTAATATAGCCTATTGTGACGCTTACAGCGGGGACCACAGGAGGCGCGCTACGAATTCATCGTTTACATTTGTTAAAATGATCATAAATTTTGATAGCAAAATGACATCGCCTGGTTTGCTCGTTAACGCAATTAATTTAAAATATTTCTAAAATTCAGCAATTGTAAATGACAATGGTAAGTGATATAATAATAGATAAGATAAGAATTTTAACAAGTGCACTTGCACTTGGACAAGACACAAGGACCTCAAGGCAAGGAAACCTTAAGAAATAAACAAAATTTATTTCTGCAGTTTAGTGCCAAATAGACGGTTATTTATTCATTCATAAAATAACAGCACGAAAATCGATTAAATGGATTATTATTTTTATTTCACAATATTTTTTAAGCCTTCATTAGTAAATTTCTTACTAACAGAAAATTGTGGTATATTTCGAAAGTATAAAACTCGTTTGAGCACCTACTTAGTGACTTAATTAAAGTAGCAATAGGAGTTGCAACTCAATAAAATGTTACAAAGTTATCTTATCGTAGACCTATTAGGCAGTACGCACACTATTCAGCCCTTGTGAATGAATTAAGCGATAACGTGTAGAGATCGGTCGATATTAGTTGTCGATAAAAATAGAACGCGTGAAGTTTACGCATTCTTACAGCGTAAAAGACTGCAATTTCTTACCCCCAATGAAGACCCTGAGGTATTTAATTGTATGTGTGTTTATATAGGCAGGCTAGTTATAAAGGATTTTTATATTAAGTAGTTAAGGTATATTTCTAATAAATTACATGATGGAAATAACCGAACAACATGGGGAAGCCTATGCTAAGGATTTGTGAATGTCTTTATATGACTTTTTTCATACACTTCAAATAACGCAACAGTATTGCTACAGAAAACATGATTTTTTGCTGTTTCGGCGTTTCGATCTGATTCTCATTTTAAAGTATTTCGTATAATTAAATACAAAAATACTAATGAATATAATTAAATTGGCTCAATTACTTGGTCGTTAGCTCGTAGTCGGGTGCACGAAAGTCATTACTTGAATTCGGACACCCGAACAATATTTACACTGATATACGGGCTGAAAGACGCTGTCGGGTAACCAAAACGAAAACTATCCGAATACGGGTGTACTCGACTCCATAAATTTATTCGTTTACCCGAATTCCATAGGTAATCGTATTCGGGCTAACGACCAAGTGTAATTGAGCCATAACATTCATACCTATTATGAAAGTGATTAATAAATAACAAATAAAATGCATTTTATCAGGCAACACATTATAATTCCTATTTTCCATCTTTCACCAACAATATTGGGACAGATTTACAACAACAAGTGTAGTATACATTAATTCTTGCAACATACGCATACATTTGTAGACGATAAATTTCGCGAACATAGGTCAAAAGTTTTAAATAGCGATACTATCGATACGATAGATAGCCAGTTATCGATAAATAAAAGCATCGATAACGCTGCGATACCAGCTTGAAAGGTTATCCGGTCCATCTTTATGGAGTAAAAATAAATTGATAGAAGAGATAGGTTGACGATTCCAGAGCCTTGTAAAGGATTCAATATGACGGAATTAAATTTTATAGTCTTTTTAAGGACAAGTCTTCTCGTCGTCGTTGTCATGTGTCAATTACGTATTTTTGTTTTATTATTCAATGGAAAAATAAGAAAAACACCTACCTATACCACAAGAGAGTGTGGTGTATGTGTTTATCTTCTTTTTTTACTGTTGCTCTAATTGTTAATTTTAAAATTACCTAATATTATGTGGTTTGTTCCGTTCCGCTTTATTTATATTTTCGTAGATTTCTATTATAATAGATTTTCTAAAACATCCATACGAATAATAAAATTATTTAAAATAAAATCTACAAAGAATTAAAAGTTACTATTTTAGTTCGTAATAAATTTCAAATGTAGCGTAGCTATTTTGACTGATTACTTTGTAAGGTTTAAAGTAACAATTTAGATGCGAATCGTCGTAGAATTTCACGCGACTCAATTTGTTGCAGGGTAGATATCATGTACTAACAAGGCATGTGTCTGTGTGTATTTTTCAAACGTTAATACCAGGGGCACGCTTAAATCTGTCTACCTAGGCAAGTCTAATTGACATATTTATTATCGCATAAATTACTTCGGAGCGCGTAAATTAGGTCTCAAAGTGCTTTCTAATTTAGCATTACCTTTTATTTGGTAGGATGGTTATCTCTGTATGAGGAAGAGTAAGATTTTGTAACTTTACGTTTTACTTAAATATCGTACGTAAGATTAGTTTGCAGAATCTTATATAATGACGAATGTTAAGAATGTATTATAGATATTAACGGGATTGTTACCATGTACCTTGTTTTTTATGAGTCTCCGATATTTCGGCACTGTTGCAAGCGCCATGATCACGGAGTAACTGAAGTAATTGCGGGTAGATGTTATTGGCAGACATATCGGTCTACCCTCTGACGTCGTCTTTTACTGCGTTCGATACTACCACTACCATTGGTCACATTCTCACTATTCACTCGCATTTGTTCCCGGCACACAATACTCACAGTATCAGATCGCGGAACGACACTTTTTTGATTTTTGCGGTTTTTACACATACGAACCACTGGATTCCACACACTAGACAATTTAAACCCATCCTCACGATTGAAATTCTTGTGTTTGGTTATTTCAATCGCTTCCCTGACCAATCTTGGTATGTAGTGGCGTTCTGTCGAGATAATTTGTGGCTTATGGAGCTCAATCCAGTGATTAGGACCCGAATCAATTAAATGTTCCGCGATGGCTGATTTTTGCGTATCATTATTTCTGACTGCTTTAATGTGTTCTTTCATTCGGCACGCTATTGTCCGTTTCGTTTGGCCAATATAAGAACTACCACAGCTGCAGTCGATCTTGTATACACCAGGTTTCTCCAAGGGGAAGTTATAATTAAGTTATAATTATATTAATATATTAAAGAAGTTATAATTATATTAATATATTAAAACAATATAGCGTTAAGAATGTAGTCTTGAATTTTTTCTTATGAGGATAAAAATGAAGTTTTCGTATTTTGAATAATCTTTCTTTTAATTAATGATTATTACTTTTCGTGAGAATATCAACCTGTTGATAAATCGTAGCAAAAGTCTCTCTCCAAATAAAAGTTTATTAACTAAAGAGTTCGTTGTACTTTTCTTAGTCAAAAAGAGATAGAAGGAGGCTCAAACATGATTAGTTTTTAAATCTGAATTAAGAATTTTGGTGCAAGTGGGTCTAGTATCCTTATTATTAAAGCTTACGATTCCTACCATAATAAAAAAATGTATGCACGGACACATCTGAAGAGAAACTTTTCTTAAATAACCTAACATTAGGCGGTGCATAAGGCATATGAGAATGGAGCAGCATCACTCATATATATATGTACCTATATATATTGTCGCGTGTGACGCTCGTGACGCTTTTAGCGTTTCAACCCTCGCCGAGTTACTCTCCAACTTTCGCTCGTCGGGAAGAGCTGCGCACGCATCCCACACACACACATATATACATAGTCTTGTGACGCTCGTGACGCATTTGCGTTTCTTAGTCAAAAAGAGATGGAATGAGGCTTAAACATGATTAGCTTATAAATCTGAATTAAGAATTTTGGTGCAAGTGGGTCTAGTATCCTTATTATTGAAGCTTACGGTTTCTACCATAATAAAAAACATGTGTGCACGGACTACAAATCTGAAGTGAAATTTCTTTTCTTAAAAAACTTTCATGCTCGTCGGGAAGAGCTGCGCACGCAACCTACACACATATACACACATATATCGTGTGACGCTCGTGACGCATTTCCGTTTCATCTTTTCCATTGGATTTTTCCATTTACACCCGTCCTAAAAGAAGTTTCTCTT